ATTAACCATGGAAAAAAAAAGTGTAATAACCATTTTTTTTGGCTTTGATTGATTGCCATTTGTATAACCACAGTTCTACTACAAATACTATGGTTAAACTATGGGTAGTGAAAAAAAAAAAAAATTGCCGTTACCATGGTTAAACTACAATTTTATTTATAGTAAAACCATGGTTAATTTACATGAGGGAAGAATGGTCATACAACTATATTTCCGGTATGAGACAGGCAACAGGTCTGTTATCACGATGTTCACATAATGTTTTGTTGATATTAAACACAATAAGACAACAATAAGCTCACTGATGACAAAAGAACATCCTGTTCGTCTTAGAAATGGATTTTCTCTGACATGAATTTAGCATAAATTCTATATTGCTAGCCTTTGGACCTCTTTCACATTAGCAGAAGAGCTTAATGTATCCAACGTACACCTGGATCCATATTTAATTGCGAGAAAATGATATCAAAGAAGATATTTTAAATGCTTCAAGCTAATTACATGTAGGCACTGAAGATGGTTTAAACTCTAAATCATAAGAATGTACCTAGCGCAGGTGTGATGCTAGCAGGGTGGCCTAGCTTGACACCAGCTCTGCAGGCTTTGTCAGTAGAGACTCTCATGTTAATTACAGTCCCACTGTCTAATTACTCATCAGCTGGCAGGAGAACAGCACCCGTCTCAAAATAGCAGCAGCTAATCCTTTAATTGAAGAGAGAACCAAATCTAAGCAAAACAATGGAGAGCGGACATAGCTGCGTCTAGATGACCATCGCTAATGGAAAGCATATGTAGATGACATTCGAAGGCAAACAGGATATGGCCAATTGTGTTGTTTCTGGAGTGACATTTCGCCCCTAAGTCTCCCTCATTCTGGCTCTATCCTTCGTTACATTCAACCTTCCTCGATGAATATATAAGAGTCTGAGAGGAACTTTTTTCTCAGAGGAAGTCTGTAATTAGTGCCTGCTTGATGGCCCTGGAATTCCAATCTGTTTTTGTAGCAAAATGGGTCGGCGACTTAAGGCAGTGGCACAGGGGATAAGAATAAGAGGGTGGGGTGGTGTCTCAATCATTGTTTCCATCTACAGCCCTGGCACTAGGGCTGTGACGGTGGCAGATTTTTACCACCGCGGTGGTAATGGACCAACTACCGCCGGTGGCGCGGTGTTGATATAAATAAATATACATAAATATATATATACACTATATAATTAATATTAATATTATATATATACTGTATAACATCCGATTTAACTCGCCAGCTCGTGTTTATTTTAGCACTTCAGTCAGTGAATACGCAGCCTGCAAAACACTAAAATAAATATAAAAGAAATAATACCGTTAAACAAGAAAGTAGACTAAATAAGAAAGTTAAATTCTGTGCGGCGCGACAAAATACTATAAAACTCATTATAATCAGTGATGCTACACTGGATGCGGCACGACACGACTAATCCCCGACAGTAAACTGCCTTGTTCTATTTATGAGGTACTGACACAAGAGTTCAAATGTCCTGTGTAGACACTAGACAGACTCAACCTGTTGCAACGCGGTGGTGTCGCGTCCGGTGTAGACACGGTTCACTGTTCCACTACTGTTATTACTGTTATTACACTTGTATACAAAACTTCGTATTATGCTTGTTATAGAGTGCGTGACGTCACGTGCACTACCGCTGGTGGCAGTAGACAACCGCAATGGTAAGCGACCACCGCGGTGACGCGGTTGTCACGGCGACCGTCACAGCCCTACCTGGCACATTCCCTCCTCACCTCCATCAATCAAGCTGACGGCTTCCCGTTGAACTGGCCGACACAAAACCTGGTTGGCACTCTACAGTTCCAGACTTGAAGACATCGTCCTTATTGTTTTGAACACTCTGACCTCTTGTCAGAGATGCTTTAATGAACAAAATGAAGGTAAACATCCTCTCCAGTGATGCGAAGGAGAAAAGCCCTCGCGTTCCTGAATCAAGCCCTGATCAAAGCATTTAGCAGAACAGCAGGACAGACGTATGCAGCGGGTTTATAAATGAATCGCTGCGTATTCCAAGCACCGCTGCATAAAGGCAAGCGGCTGATGCGTTTCGGTAGACCTGTGGACGAGAATGATTGCGAGGCTGAGATTAATGAAACAGAACATGATCTATAATGAGCAACTTCTATTCAACCATTAGGAGCTAGACAGGGGCTTTCAACTATTGACAGTTGACTTTTTCCCAGATCAAAATGCATAATTCATAAAAGTGCTTTGATGCTCCTGGAGTGGATGAGCGTGCATTTATTGCATCACTTGCAATACGCCACATACTGCATTGATGTCTACCAAAACAGGATCTGTTCTGTGTTATGCCAAGCTCTCCACGGGACTGAAAATCTGCCATCCATAAGAACCTTCACAGCGTCTTTTGTTTTAGGTTACGGTCTTCTATAAATCGGAAGTCTTTCCTTGAGAGAGAGTTGAAATGTGTTGTACAGATGTAGGTATCTCGGATTGTCACGCTTTAACACGGTCTTCCGATTTAAACTAGGCCGTATCCATAAACACAGTACACTGGAAGTTTTCAGAGCCAGATTCCCCTGTTCTGCAAGACTTCACCCCTTCTTTCATTCATCATACGTCTGAACGGCCATTTGATTTTCAGCATGGCACAAACCCTTGTAAACGGACAAGCCTGTGTAGCCCACTGGCTTAGCTCAAGATCTCCTGACCCTCGACTAATTATCAGGAGTGGCAAGCTGGGAGCATTAAACCCTGAATCTAATTTGAAGCTGCATTAAGATGCACGACAAACGCTGTCTTTTTGACACCTTCTGGGTAGAAAAAAACTGCAAGAAATGGGGATTTTTAACAAGGAAGAACCGGCCTCTATGAATAATATAAGTGTCGGCTGTAAATTACATTCGAGAGTGTAAATGTAATAAATAATGAACTGATAATATGCGTTGGAGGACACAGGAGCGAGCGAGTTGTGCGTGCCAAGTGGACTGCGCCATTAGATGGAGAAATACTGTTGTGGTGGGTCATGTTGCTTAATGGAAGCGAAATGAAGAATTCCACTCTTTTAATAAAGCTTGTTATAATTAAACTCCTCCACAAGTGCCGGGCACGAGAGAGAGAACGAGCGCAGGACGTCTCCAAATTATAAATCATTCATCCTCGGCGGGGTTCCGCCTTTGTTCCCTTGGAAACAGATGTGCGGGGTTCAACTTTGACATCTGATTGGCGGAAAGGGATTTACAGGGGCACGGTACATGGGAGCTGAAACAGAATACGTTTGATTTGCTGAAATTTCGCCCACCAAAAAGAGTACCCTTCCTCTAATCAATACCCTTTAGAGAATTCCAGGCGGCTGCAAAATTGTGCTCTCTTCAGCTCGATACCTCACTGTGGGAGGCGAGTCATTTAGGGTTTCATTAATATCTGAAATGACTAAACAAGTTCAGCAAGCCAAGAGTGTGAGCAGTTGTAAAGTCTACTTAATTATCCTGAATAAAATATGAAGTGGCAACTGTGAAATGATGTGGAACCGATTTGGTTTGGGTGCTAGAAGAGAAATGTTCTCTGATCTTTTAGACTCATTTAAGCCACATAAGCAGAATGTTTCTTTTCTGAAGACTTCCCATTGGTTGGATACAAAATAAAACTCAGTAGCACAACAGCATGTCAAAACCGCACGCCAAACATTGATAAATATACTGTCATCTTACGAACATGAGAATGCTTCACTTAAAGTGATGGCCTGTAAAACGAGTAGAGGCTAATTATCGACTGCTTCTCAAAGAACATCCTGGTAGAGTGTTAGGATAGTTCATTGTGCTCTGTATAACAGTCCCGATCAATACCATATTGACAGAGACTGGTAATCTATAAGCATAATGAGTCCATCTAAACAAAGAAGAACTTTGAATTACTATGATCAAAAGCACTTGAGAAATCGGCTACAGTTACAATCCTCAACTCGATCAGACTCCACATTGTATCCTCAGGGCTCTACTTGTGGAATTTCTTCCTAAAACGTGGGTCAGAATTTGTAGCCACTGGGGAAGAACTTGTCTCCAGTTCCTCAGGAAATGCGTACATCTCGCTTTTACATCGAAGCGAAGAATCAAACATTGTGGTTCCTCTTCTCTGCTAAGTTGAGGCACCGTCCTCTAATTCAATTAGTTTCTGGTTTAGAACACAGACAATATTTTGACAGCAATAAGGAAAATCTGCTTAACAGGCCTCCCCTAGCAAAAACTTGGCTGTGGGTCATGTCTGTTATTAACCTCCTGAGCAGTCTCTTTGGCCCAAACTTTCCAGTCAGGCAAAGATTATAAAACAAGTCTGGGTTTTGAGGGTACCCTTGAGGTTTGGGTCACAGAAAAACCCCCAAGTGCAAGAAAAGGCCTGCAGAGGTGCTGCAATGTTTGTGTAATCAACACAATGACTCCTGCCAAATGTTTTTCACAGATTCATGCGACTGAAATACACACGCAAATAATGTGTTGTCCATGTCACTGTCCTTGTGTGTGGCCACATTCCTCAGAATAAGTTTTAGGTTTCTTATTGTCTCTCGGACATTAAGATCATGTTAGACACACCCAGATGCATCTCATAGACAGTCTTTGTTAAGGTTACAAGCATCTGTTGGCCAGGATGACTCACTGGGGCCAGAGCGAACCAGTGCATTTGGGTTTTAACATTCCATGGCTTTCAACCAAAGGGCAAAATTCAACAGATGTTGCTGCTGGTCTTCGAAAGAGAGCCAGTGGCAAAAGCATCTGCAAGGCTGCCTGATAGAGTTGAAGTCAAATTCAGCTAGAGAAAGTTTCTAACTCAAAAATCATAAAAGTGTGAGGGAGTTTCAAACTTTTCGTCTGTAGACTCGACTTCTCTATTCTTCAAAATATATCACAGAAGTTTCTATTCTCTGCCAAGGACAAATCCCTCCTCCATTACTTACTCATAATAAACTGCTATCTTCAGTATACACGTGTGAATCGTACAGTACCTGGATCCATTCTTTGTTTGAGTCCTCCGCAGGGGTCCAACCGTTCTCAGGGTTGTTGAGTCTAGATCGTTCCGGAGACCAGCTGGGGTTGTACTGGGATGAGGCCATGATTTGATCAGAATGGATTTCCCCAGTTTCCATACCCAAAGGCTCAGTGCAGTCAAAGTCTGAGGAAAGCACAGAGAAAAATAGGGGCGGGGGAGTTGTTAAAATGTCATTTCACGATCTAAATAAAGAATACATCAGATCACGACCCAAACTAAGGCCTTCCTCTCGGGAATGGGCCACTCAGAGGCAAAGTACCATAGGTTTCCATCTCTTAGCACCAGAATAAAACATACGCACTTTTCTTTCCCACAGTTTAATGGATGCACTGTGGGAAGTGTACCACATTAAGACGCAAACCTTTATTCATAAAACATTCAGTTTAAGCTCTTAAGTCCAGCGGCGAGAGAAGTCTTGAGGTTCATAAAAGAAGTGCTTTCTGAAGGTGCACAGTTAAATGGCACACGGGAAGGCCATTTCCCCAGCGTCAGCACTTGGAGGAATGGAAAGTCAGAGACGTCTCTAGCATGTCTGTGTTTTCAGACGGAAGGAGAGCAGGTTGTATATCACTCCTCATGCCATGCCACCCAGGATAAGGGCATTGCTGATTGTTTTGTGACGTTATGGGGCAGTCGTTTCGAGGCATGCTGACCGTGTGTCTGAGACAAGCAAAGTTCATGCTTTGACCCCCAAGGGTCTTTTTCCAGACGCTTCGGCACAAAATTTAGGACTCTGAGACAGTGAAGGATGGGGAAATGTTGAGGCTGAGGTGGGAGACATGCTAATTTATTTACAACAGGTCACAGACTCCAAACAAACACAGTTTTAAATGTAAGGAAATGCATGTTGAAACAGGGTGAGCTCGTGTTACCTAATATAACAGTGAAAGGTTCAAGCAGGTCAGATATGCACATACACAAACAACACAGCCCAAACATCCAGGACTAAACACATGTAGCAGATGGAGAAAACATGCGTGTTAGATAGACAGTAGTTTTATTTGTTTATTCAAAACCTAGTGATCTGCCTTCCTAGAGGCACAAATTTTTGATACCGTCTAAGATACTTATTTTTGTTTAAATTGTAAGGCAGCATTTATTCTTTATAAAGTAACCAATCACAGAATGCATTTTGAAAAATAACTGTAAAAGAGAGTTTAACTGCCTATATAACTGTACATTTAATTCAGGATGGAAAAGTATTAATACTATTTTATCCAATATCCTTACAAAAATATACCAGAGTAGCCATAGATGTTTTCAACGTACCAATATATTGTAGAAATTTGTAAAAGTATTTTTTTTGTGCATATTAAAAATCACTTCATTAGCTTAGCAACTCGTGCTAGCACTAAACTCAAAATCAAAAGTGATTGTTGAGTCTTTTATGTGCTTCTCATGAATTTCTCTCTTTTACCCTTGAAACCTCAGCTCAACTTAATCTTAACATGACTCATTCTCTTTTGTTCTGTTTTATCTCTCTATCTCTTCAAGCCATCTATCCACTTTCCACCCTTTCATTCTTTAGAACAATGACTGAAAACAACCAGATCTCTCGTCTGATTACATCTGGCATCCGTCACTGTTCGATCCGACTCAGCAGAGACCATAAATCTATGACGGTTCACTGACAAAATCCTTCGCATAAAGACTTATTGCCAATGGCGATCTCCTTCCTTCCTGCAAAGCACAATATACTGGTAAACATGTCAAACTGTGAGAGAAGCTGCCACAGAATGTAAATTTATGGAGGCAATAAATAATTGATAGACTGCGACTGTTGGGCAAAGCCCCTGCTGTGAACACACTGAATGTATTCTTGAGCATGAGCTGGGATGGCAGAGATGTAGTAAACACCTTGATGTGTTCTGAGAGCACAAGCTGAAATATAACACGGTACACCAGTTCACAACATTAATGGCAATATGCACTTTATGATATATACAATATGTATCCACCTTAAACTGGTATGAGCTGCAATTATACTGGACATATGTCGAATCACAAGCACCACTACTTGTCATGTTGAACAGGGTAGGTGACAAAGACAGACGGTGGGAAAGACAGACAGAGGAGGAGTAAGAAAGTGTCTAAGGATAGTTTTGAATGCATAGCGTGATTGCGGGTGAGGGTTGGTGGTGTGTTCTGAAATTAAATGTTTAGTTGGAGCATTTCTTAAATTGGGGTGAAGAGGTGAACCCTCTGGGTGAGCTGGTTTGGAAAAAAAAGAGTAAACCAATCCCCATAAAGCAGGGCAGATGAGTCATGACTCTTAACACAATCACTTAATGAAAGAGGGCCACAGCTGAGCGGGCCGTGGTGATTTAATAACTTCCCATGTCATATCATGTTGTATTTGCATGTGAATGTGGGTACACATCTGTATATGGGTTTATACCCTAATCAACAGGGTGTGATTCAATAACTTTGGCTACAAACATTCTCAAAATAAAGTTCTCATAATGCCCTTTAACCTAGATTTTTTTTTTTTGATTTTCTATAAGTAGATTTTTTTCAGCTTATACTAACTTTGGTTAAGAAAACTGGACCTTTGCCTGGTTTATAACAGTTATTATTAATTATTATTATTTTTTTTGTAATTTCTAGAGGTTTTTGAAGTAATTACGTTTCACCAGCCTTCATTCACCTTTCAAAACTGGTAGAAATTCCAAAACTGGTAGAACAGGCCTTTCTATCAGCTATGGAGCACCAATGGTTGAATGGTTCGCAGAATAACAATTTGACTTTCTTTTTTTTTTGCAATACAAGTTTATCTAAAGTTTGTGTTTATTAACTACTGAATCTTAAATCTTGAACACAATATTGACATAGTGAATTAATCGCACAACATGACTGGTTGTGTGATCTTAACATGGTGATCCATGTTATGCACAATAAACAACCTCTTCTAGGATGCTGATATTACTGGAGACTTCATCTCATGTGAATTTAGTATTAATTTCATGAATTATTTCATGCACTTTAAACATTGCAGTATTGACTTACCGTCCGGGACTGTCCTTTCCAGCACAGTAAAATTAGCTGAGAATCCCTCTTTTGCAATAGCACTGTCTGTGTTGATTGTCAAAGCCAAGATTCCAGTGTAGGATATGATCCGTCCTGGAGTATTTTGTCCACAGTATCTGCCAATGTATGGACCAACTGTGGAAACAGACAAAGATAGAGGAAAGAGAGGCATGATAGATAGGTTTAATAATCTACTATTCAAGCCATTCTATCACAGCTGATCCTGAAGTGTGTGAACGTCAAGGACAGTGTGATTGGTTGACCTTGTATAACTGCATTGACTGAACAAAACATTCTCTCTACACCTTGCTGTTGATGAAAATTAAGAGGGCAGTGTCTGTTTTGTACGTGTCTATGACCTTGGGTTTCTGTTTTCAGTGGCGACCATAGATTCCTGCACTTATTGTTCATTCCAGGGCCACTTTAATGTGACTTCCCAGAAGCCACTTTAAAATAAAAAAACGTGTAGGAGTTGGAAGGGACAAGAAGGAAGGAACCAAACACAACTAAGACTGTAAATTAAGAGGTATGCAGTACATTCAGCTAAGAGAAGGAAATGCTTTGAAGCTGTATTGAAAAAGAGCTTTTCATACTATATGCACATGTCTTTTGTCTTAAGGCCACTTTTAAACTTTGGTTTAAGCAAACTTGTACCATGGTAGATTGCGGTGCTAGAATGTAAAGGCAAGTTGTTTGGCAACAGACAACCAATTATAAATGGCCCCAGTGCTTGCCTTATTAATTATGCATGAGCTTTGAACAACCACGGAAACTTAATTTACACTGAAATTACACATTTGTGTGCATTTTTTGCACACAGTCAAAAAAAATTAACCTAGTAAAAATGCAAATAGCAAGATTAACCCAAGGTTTACAAATATACATGCAATCTCAAAACCCGAGTAAAAGGTCTAATTACTGACCCAATACAAAATAAGAACCACACGAAACATCTGGGATTATGTTAAAATTTACCACAAATTACTGAAATATTGGCTTAACAAGAAACTGCGATTGGCTCTTTGAGAAGATGCCCATTACAGTACAAGAGATTAAACAGATCTGCCAGCTTTGTGTGTGTGTGTGATATAAAACAGATCTACGGGTTTACATGAATCTTAATCTTCATAAGAATTTATCGAAACAGGTGCATCCAAGTGTGCATAAATGTGTGCGCTTGTGTGTTGAGACAGCTCTGGGTGTGGTGAAGCATCCGGATTATCTGCATGACTCAACAGGGCTATGAAATTTTAAAGAGCCTCTCCATGAACCCATCCAGCATGTCTGCTCTGGTGGAGGAGGAGGGGGCTTTATAAACCTCTGCCAGGCTGCGACTGCCTTAAAGTGGGCGGCCAGTGGGTGATGGAGGGGTGGGCTGAGGGCTCGAAGTCATAGAGGCTTCTGTCTCATGCCTCGCAGCCTTTCCACACTAATGCACTTATTGATTGTTGTGGCTCCACAGGTAATGCAGATAGTGTCTGAACCCGTAGAGACGAGTTACACTGAGGCCCTAAGGCACCAGGACTTTCCCTTTAAAGTCTTGTCTTCAGCCTCCCTCTTGGCTCTTTCTCTGTCGCCGTGCACTTGTGGGGACACCTTTTTATTGTAGATTTTTCAACAGAGGCTGCTGGGTCTAAAATAAAAGCATGCAACCTTTGTCCCAGGTGCTACACTTTCCTCAGGCCTACATGGATTTTGGATTCACAAAAAATTCTGTAGGTTTTTGGAGAAGTGGGAGAGCATCATTCACAAAGTTCTACACACCCCTCACTTCCTGAGTTTGCTTACGAAAACGATAAGAGTGCAGCATTCTCAGCACTTTTTTAAGAAATAGTTCACCCAGAAATGAAAATTCTGTCAGTATTTATCATAATTATCTTGTTCCAAACCTGCATGCTGTTGCCATGGAACACAAAACAAAAATTAAGGAAACCTAAAATAAACAAACAGCATAGGACTTTCCGCTGTTTTCCTTCAAAATCCATCCAGAAAATTCCACAAATTCCGAAAATGATTGCGAATTCTGTCTGGACCTGCCCACAAAATACTTTGTGTAACCTTTAAAAAACAATTATTTAAACAGACTTCCTTTAATCATAATTGCGACAATAGATTCACAACATATCCTCGGAAGAATGCTAAAACTAATTTAAAAAATTTTAACTGATGAGAAAGCTCAAAAGGCTCAGTCTCAGATCAAAGGTGTCATTTGTTCACGACTTCTCTCTTCCGTCAAGACAGAAAAAAGTCGATAATGAAGTGGAAACTGAATAAGACCTCTGGTCCTCGCAGACTTCCTTCCCGCTTTGAGCTGAAATCTTCCTGTTGGGCTTCTGGGTGTGTATAAGCAGTTCAAATACACACGCACAAATAAAAACTGTAATTTTCTTGGGAGAACAGAATATTTCTGGTGTTATGACAACAGTCTACATTCCAGAGTCCCTCAACCTGAACTGCCCGAAACAAACCACAGTCTAATGTCCAGAGAGACGGGATAAAGAGCTCTTACTAACATGTTCTCAAATACACTTATATATCACATTTGTGGATGTAAGAGTATGTGTGCGAGGTTAAATATCTTATCGACACTTGGCCATGCCTAGGAGAGGTTTGTTTTGCATGTGAAACACAGCAAATGGATCGAGGTCAGGCGTCTGTTCTCCCCTAGAGATCAATCATACGGCATTGTTATTTAGTCATACCGTCTGGCTTATCTGTCAAAGGCCATTTCCAGAAGGCCAAAGATGAGACCCTCCCAATTACTTCTGCTCTGACCATTGTTTAGTTTCATTTTCCAGACTGCCTTCTTAAGTATTGAATTGTATTATATTGCAATTTATGCAGCTTGTTGAGGAAAGGCTTGCTATTACTTTTCTATATGATCAGATTTACAATTTTGAAATAAAACTGGTGCCATCTCAGATAAAATTTGCAAAAATAGTTCCTTCAGGGTTACAATAGCCTGTTACTGTGGCAGTATGCTTAAAGGAATGACATTGTACCTTATTTAAGATCCATAAGCAGTACCTTAAGGGTACATATTACTACTCTAAGTCCTAATATGCACATTTTAAAGGTAGATAAGGCACGAAGTTGACCCTTTATGGGTCCTGCCGTGACAAGCTGTTGTATCCCTAAAGGTACAATTTTTGCAAATTTTTTGTCAACGTGGAAGAAAATCCCCTCCCAACCACCTAGTACATTGTTTTGGTGTGGTTTGCATAGGACACTCAAGTTTTCGTCAGAAAATGTAAACTCTATTTTACATCGTAAAGACCTAGTATACATTCTTGTTATCTGATGTCATGTCATGTTTCTGTAGATTGAAGTTTATTGTTGCTGGTCCTTTGAAGTGTGAGTATTTGAGAACCAATGTGCAAACATCATCCACTAAATGATCTTTTGTTTCAAACATTCAGATTTTCCTGTTTGGAGCAACAGATCTCTCCAGTGACTCACCTCCAGGGAAGCCGTCCCAAATCTCCAGGCGGTCGTAGCGGCAGAACACTCCAGTGGGTGGCTGTGTGTCTGGCTCCAGCTCAAAGCTCTCGAACTCCAGAACGATCTCCGACATCTTGGGAGCAAAGATCATGAACGTGCAATCCAGGTTGTTGGGGTACTTCTCTGGAAAACCCGGCGACTTGATGACTCCACTGCTGGAGGTGAAGTTCCTGGAACATTCTGGACCTGAGGTGAACACAGAGAGCAAGGAAAAAGTTAGGATTTTTTGTTTGTTCACTGAGGCAGATGGAGTAGGGGGAAAAAAACAAACATTGAAGAAAGAACACGGTGGTCTGTGTTGTTTTGCTCGATGATTGCATGGTTTATGGGCCGTGGAGGAGGCCCACCCTGCTCGGGATATGGCTGCTGCCTGATTTCTTGGATGTGTGGGCTAATGATAAAGACGAAACGAGACCGAAAAGAAAGTAAAAGCCCATATGAGCCCGTACTTATTAAATGTTACATATGCACTCTCTGCTGTATGGTTGGTGCTTAAAACAACACAATTAAGAAATAGCAAAATGTGGCCATCATACTTTATAAAACTCACTTTCTACACCCTTTAGAAATGCACACACACTTTTATATCATGCAGCAAGTCAAAACATTTACGCAGAACTCCCTGGTGGACTAGTTTGTTGATGCAGTGTGTTGTTGAAGTTCACACATACATCACTACTTTGCACTTACACAACGGTTGCTCGGCTAAAGCTGTTGTGTGATGAATAGGCTCAGAGCTCTAAGAGTAAATACGCTCTTGTTACAGAGTGATGCATATAGGATCACCTCTGGATCATCAACACTCAACATTACGTTAGCACTGCACCTAATGTAGTGTGGAATCTTGTGGTTATTACTGCGGGTGCAAAAGTTTAAAGATCATGAACCAGAACAGAGATGACAAATAAGGATGTCACAGTGGCTAAAAACCAAACCCATATTACTTACCTCTTTAAGTGGAATACAAAAGGGTAACTCTTGAAGAACTCTCAAACTGCTTTCTTGCATAACAATTGGATGGGGACCATGGTGCATCATTAAAATGGTCTGTACAACTTCTGTTCTAAATCATCTTCTAAAGCCACAGATCAAAATGTAACTAATTTTTCATTGAAAAACTCTCACTTTTCTTATGTGTAAGAGAGCAGCTTGGACATTCTACTACATATCTCCTATTTTGTTCTATGACAGAAAGGGGCTTTGACACAATGGAATGTAAATTATGTCAGAATTTTCATTGTTAGGTGAACTACACCTTTTTAAATATTATAAATGGACAGTCTAACAAACAACTCTCCAAAGGATGGGACGATTATTGAAAAAAAAAAAAAAAACGTATTTTTCGCAGCTTTAAAGGGATGTTGAAGAGCATTTTCTTTTATTTTGGAACCTTGGGTGCATAATTTAATGTCATCAAAAACTCTACCACAAAACCTGTTAACTGCTTCTTTTTATCTTTCTTTTTTATTTCTTTTCCATTTTTCCTGTGCTCTAAAGAAAATGACCAGCACGGGAATTTGAAGCTAAAGTGAGTTGGCACTACTTGGTTGGTTTTTAAACAGCAGGACATAAATTCCACACTTTTAGTCCTTTCACAGAGCTTTAAAATTCCAGACATTTAATATTGCAGTTTCTTTCATAAATAAGAAAAAAAAGGTGTTGCAGTCAATGAACGTGGCCTTCCCAAACTCTACAGGCCTCCATTCTAATCTACTGGAACCTAGGGTGTCAGCAATTACACATGAGGAGAAGGTGTCACATGGACAGGACAGGGTAATTGCACAAACACTTTGGGGTTTAGGGTTGAAAACTGTCAGCTGAATGGTCAGCAATCAGTGTCTCTGAAACTTTCCAAGTTGAAATAAAAGTTACTAGGCTTATAAAGAAAGTCAAAGGAACTATTTGATGATGGAGCCAAAAACTTTCAACTTTCATCTTTAGTTTTTGAAAGTTGCATAAGTTCCAGCATCAACAGATAGACACACTCAATTCTGTAGACTATTCTTAAGATAATCTTCTCACAGAGGAAAAAATTCTGTGGCTGTTCCACAGGCAAGAAGGAATTGCATTTTCCTTTTGCAAGATAAGAGCACATTTCCACTGCACCAATTCTCACTCTATTTATAAAGTGCATGCTATAACATTATCTTTTTTAGCAAAACAACCCAGAACATACTCGAAGCAAGAACATGAAAGCAAATGCGTTGAATTCCGAAATATGTCAGAATCCATTTCGATTGACAGCATTGTCATAAAGGGGCGCTATAGTGGGTATTACTGCTCAGTTTCCTTGTTTAGTTATTTTTGATGACATTTGATGGTCGTCCCATTGAATACTAATGCAAGAATACATATTAAGTATTGTTTACAATGTGTTATTGGCACACTTGTGTAGTTTTAGTGCCTCTCTGTGGATGACGTAAATATAGAGTGTGAAATATTATAGAGAATTGTTGGTCCACTAACTGTGTAGCTTCGCGGCTCTTCACTGTGACTGGCTTTGTAATGCTTCACTGCTGTTTACAGATTGCGGTGGGATTCTAAGGTTTATATGTGTGTGCGTTTGTGATTATGCGTGTCTCATATGGATTCAGAGACATGTTGCTATTGTCGCTAAGCGCAAATGCTTAAAACATCCACACATTCCCATGTCTCTTGGTTTGTTTCTGCAGTTATTTGCAAGTAGTTGGGAAAAAAAAAACTTTACAAGAGAAAGACTGGGGAAAACTGAGATGAGAAACGGGAGGGAGCCTCAAGCCTGTAAACTCAAGCCAAATAAATAAAGCTTTGTGAGAGTCATCCAGCTTTCTCTGTCAGTTTCTTCCCGCTCACAGCCACAAATACTTTCAAGTCGCTCTGAACTAAATTTATACTTAAACACCAGAATTTATGAGAGAGTAGTGAAGTGGTATTGAATAAACACAGGCTTGATTCATAGCAGCTAAGCGCTAATTCTGACATTAACGGCTAGCTTTTGTACGATTTATTTTGCTTTTCCACACTAACGTATATACACAGGGCTTATCTTTTCAATGTGGTGAAGTGGCTGATGGCTTCGCCTCTGTGGAATATGCTGTTTATTTAACAGGCCAGAGGCAATGCTTGTTAAAATGATCGCTTGCAGGTAGTGCAAACAAACCCAGCAAAGTGTCAGAGATTTAATCCTCATGTTCTGTTGAGATTAACTTGTTGTTACTGTTGTTACGTTTGGGGTCTCCCCATGAGACCTCAGTGATGTATATCTAACAATACAACATGTCTAAACATTGCCGTCATTTAGAAATTAACCTTTTATCTTTAGTTCTTCTGACATAACCAAAACCAGATATTACTGAAGCTGTATCCCTCTCTTTTAGACATTATATTTGAATCAATGATGTTTTTGTAAATTTTTTAAATACAGCTAAAATACATGTATCCATTCTTGTTACTTTATCTAAGGGTTCTCTATAAACACTATAATTTTTTTGTAGTTTGTGAGCTACACTGCACACAGTACTGAAAACCTGAGCTGACACAGCTATGTTAACGCTAAGAGATCTATATTACTAGATCCCTTGGCATACGACAAAGTTTGTGTAACGCTTAAACAGAAATGAAATGGCTGGAGGTGTTCTGGGTCTAGTGAGCTAATCGCTGTTGTTTATATTCCATATATCTGCAGGGAGAATAATTAATCTGGACACACACACCTTTCCTTGCCGTTTACCCCCGTGGCTATGCTGAGACAGGTTAATGGGCACGATGAGAGTTTGAGAAGCAAAATTTGGCCACACTTTCCAACAAACATTAATCTGGAGTCACAGCTGTGGGGTTACCCTGAACACACAAACTTAACGCACACTTACAATCTACAGTTGCTGACACATCATTTAGCCAGCCAGCACGGCTGATGGTTCCCCTTGAGAACGAGAATGGGCAATGAACAGAAAGACAGTTTCTGCCTTGGGTTTCATTAGCTCTGAGTGTTAATGTAGGGGGGTTTATTTAGAAGACGGGCTTGTAGAATGCTTGCCGTGCCAGATGTGACCTATGACACTGGCCTGTAAAAAAGCAACTAAACTTGTAAAAGACAACTAAACTGGACACAATGAACAAGCTGCCCTCCTCACACAATCCTTGTCCTACTGTGTTGACACAGGTGCCATCGTAAAGACGTTCAGATAGCATCTCAATGATGAATGGCCTAGACATGAGTTAGCGATGATGATGACGCAGACTTTCAGTATGACTTTAAGGCAGTTCGCTGGAAACGGCTATGCAGCTATTTAAGTACACACATGGGTTCATTGGAAAAATGTGCCTCTATCTACATTTTTGAAAAATGTAGCACTCCAAAAGCGTACCTATATACTTTACACACACAATTCTCTGTAGTTTCCAACTGAAATGAACACCAGTGGCAGTAAAACATCAACCACTTTTATTCCTTTTCACACAAATTATAATTACAGGTGCAGGTTATCGATTAATAAAAACTTGTTTTTAAATGATTCATTGCACAATACTATGTTATGACCTGAAAACACTTAACATAGTGCATGATTTGTAAACTAATACATTTTGATGTTTGACATGACAGCTCCATATGTATGGCTTTTCTGATGTAGTAAACTTGCTCTGTAGCGCACCCGGTAAAGCATTGCACTTGCAATACGGAGTGCTTGGGTACAAATCCCGTGAAACACAAGTCACAATAAAAGAGCTCAAAGACTTGCAGAAACAAGATAAAGTGGCATGGTTGCTTCAGCAAATGTGTTTTTATCTTATGGCATTTTCAAATGCAAGTATTTTATCGCTACTCACCGGACATTTGATTTCTGAGCTGATGTGAACTTTGCCAGATTCACATTCATCTATTTCATATAAAACTAAAGACTCTTAGACTATTAAAGCCACTCTAAAAGTGACATGCAAGAACCAATGTGATATCATTTTGCAGAAATGTTGCCATTAGCATGTTTTCTCAATGAACCTGGGTTGGATGCACAAGAAGAGTTCCTGTTTACTTGAAAAGAGAAAGACTTAAATCTGTTTCAAAAGATCAATAAAATCGGCAACAGTAACATACATTTTGACGTTCATTCCTACAGCTGCTACATGAAGCGCTCATCTTTCTATTAGTGGTGCATGTCATATGGAAGCCCGTTTTCAAAAGGTAAATGCAACATTATCTCTCATCTAATTGCGATTTTATGTTAGAAAATTTCCTATTTATTCTCACAGTTACCTTTTGTTTTTTACTCAGAGGTGGAAACAGGCTTCCACGGTCCCCTCCTTCTACACTGACTCTGAGCGAGGATAAATTACTTCTCCATCCTTCTATCCCACACCCACGCCTTCCACCCCACTTGCGAAACATCAGCCTCTCTTCTCACTTGATGTGGCTCTGAAAATTGCAGAGCTGTTAACTAAAAATGCATGTCTCCTTCAACCCTAAGAAAGGCCATTTTGGGGAAGCCACGGCAAGACAGGATGACATGATAACTACAGACTCTTCTTTACGGATGGGATACGCAAGTTACTAAAAATCATCTAAAAGCCCCTTGTTAAGGATGGTGTAAGGGAACTCTGAGAGAAAGAACATGGTGTCTGTGAAACCGTAGCGGTCTGAAAGCCCCCTGAGGACAGCTCTTCGTTAGATATCCATGCTGTCCAGTGTGGGTTAGTGCTTGGGTCAGGCTTGATTGCATTCATAGATAGCTGTGGTGGAGAGATTCTCATCTCTTATCTTTCCCGTGTGTGTGTGTGTGTGTGTGTAGCTCCCAGGCTTTCTCGCCCTCTCTTCACCTCATCTTCTCTCCCTCACTTTCTTTGTCACTTTCACACTTTTTTCCTGAATAGATTCTTCCCTTCTTTTGTGTTCTCTGTTTATTCACTCTTTCTCTTGTAGCCTTCGAATTAGCTCTCTACAGTACTCTCGTTTTTTTCCCTCCTCGTTGCTTGTCTAAAATCTCCCCCATTATTCTTTATATGCATTCCAAAAGAATAAATATTACATATTAAAGCTTGGGAACATTTCACTACTCTGCTACTCCATCCGTCTTTGTTTTGCATTACTGTAACTAAACTTAAAATAAAAAAATATCCATCCATCCATCCATCCATCCATCTATCTATATAAGTATATTGCTTGCCAAAAATATTGTTTATAGTGAATACTGCCATTTTTCTTTATCATATTGCTGTTGCTAGCATTTTATAAAAGCAATAAGCCACTCAATACGTGTGTTAAATTGATTTAACCACAGTTTGTTCTTAAGGACAGGGCAGAGTAAAATCATTGTAAAGCATGGTCTCTCGTGGCTAATTGCTTTAAAACATATATAAGCAGCTGAAGTTGAAGATGCCTGCTCTGGAATCAGTCTAGCCATCTGAGAGCTCTATAAAACTCACAAAATACACTGTGTATCTTTAATTAGACATTCTGCTGTACTGCTGCTTCTAGCGATTCAGCCCACACGCTGCGGATGTGTGTGAAACCTGCTCTAATCCACAGCTTACCTCTCCAAATGTAGCAGCAGCAGCAGCTTGAAATGAGTATAATCTCATTTTAAACGGTGTTACATTCTTATAATCATCCCACGTTTGAATACCTGCACACCTGTTTCAACACCTGTGTGTAATCATTACTTTTACTTGTATGTCATAAACACGCAGATCAGATGGTGCTGACAAGGCTTTCAGATCAGTTTCCCTTTCTTTATTCACCATCCGTCACTCTTCCTATTGCTTTTCACATTCTTTCCTTTGCTTTCTCGCTGTCCTTCTCTGTCTTTAATTGATAAGGCTGACGTACGCTCTGCAGAGTTTGCCTGCTCACAGCAAATTCCCATGTCCTGGACTGCAAACAACAGTATTTGTCGTTCACACAGGATCCCGCGGCTCACCCCATGCTTATAAACTAAGAGGGTTTTCTGGAGGAACACACCCTACGCGAGGGCGCCCATCCTGGCCGAGAGCGTCTGCTCGACCCCTTGACTGCACAGGGTCGATATGTTTCAGACGTCTTTGCTCTCTCCAGAGGAACCTTATTTCCAATCAGACACATCAAGAAGATGAGTTTAAGAAAATCAGCACTGAGATAATGGAATACTGTGGGAGACTTATTGATGTTATTGATGAGCCAAAGTGTGTGGAGGTGCAACAGGGGGGATGGGAACCTCAAGAGTTCTCATTTGCGTTCTGTGAAGTATCAACTTTGTCTCAGATTTTTCTCCTGAAAGTATAATAAATAATACAAATATAAATTTAAATATGTTAATATATGAAGAGTTCATTTGCAAAAACAGATAACTCCATTCTTAACAATTTGCAAAAATCATGTTTTATTCATTGTGCATTCAAATTAATCTCAACTAACTATCTACAGCTAACTAACACAATAAAACACAATAAAAACATAACATAATAATAAAAAAATTTTTTTTGAAAATAAAAAAAACGGAGTTATCTGTTTTTGCAAATAAACTTCATATAAATAAATGAAGAAATATAATTTATTATATACACTAACATTCAAAGGTTTGGGGTCAGTTTTTTTATACTTTATTCAGCAGTGATGCATAAAATTAATCAAAAGTGGCAGTAAAGACTTATTGTTACAAAATATTTCTATTTTTAAAAAAAACTGTTTTTATTAACTTTCTACGCATCAAAGAATCCTGAAAATTCTGTTTCCAGCACAACTGTTTTCATATTGATAATAATCAGAAATGTTTCTTGAGCAGCAAATCAGCATATTAGAATGATTTCTGAAGATCATGTGACACTGAAGACTGGAGTAATGATGCTGAAAATACAGCTTCGCATCACAGAAATAAATTACAGTTTAACATATATTCACATAGAAAACAGCTATTTTAAAATGTAGTAATATTTCCCAATATTACTGTTTTTACTGTATTTATCATGCTTCTTAATATATTTTTGGGACATTATTGACACTTCCGCAAAAGTCTCTCACCATATAATCTCATTGCTGTCAAGAAAATTGAGATATTAAAGAGAAGTCCTATTTGATTTTTCTTGTCTATGGGAATGACTACACACAAACGGACAATAAAGATTAAAATAAACCCCCTGGATCATCCATCTCATCCTGAGGTCACACTCGGGGCAGCCCAGGGTCAGTATTTGTGTGCTGCACCTGTCCGAGGTTACGCAAACACGCTTTCTCTGAGTCTCTAGCCCTGCCTCAAACACAGGAAACAGATCTGAACAACAGGAAATTTCTGCTTATTGCCGTGACATCTCCAGATAAGACCAATGGTCCCTCAGTGTGTATCTGTGTGTGTCTCTGAAGGCCAGACAATGCCAGAACAAGAGACCCTGAAGGTCTACAAGTCTGCGTTATCAACTGATCCATTCTCCGCCAGCAGCTCTCCCACCGGGACTGAAAACTGAGAAAACAGAATGTGCTCTCCCTCGCTTACATCTCTCCTTATATGGTTGTTGTGCTCCCCTACAGTGAATTCCTACCTTGCACGTACCCTTCTTATTATAAAACGATAGTTATGGCTCTAAAATCCACTGTGGGGCTGTTGCAGCTTATATTCGCCTATCACTTTCTTTTTCTTTCTACTCACCCGTTTTGAAGATCTCGTAGCGGATGGAGAAGCCAGCGCCATGAGTCTCGTAGTCAGACACAAACTTGATGAAGAGCTGGTTCCCAGAGGAGACCACAGGAGAGGGAGCGATCTTCCCACAATACTTCCCGACCAGCTGGCCGCTCTCATCCACTCCATCTCTCACTTCCACATAGTCATATCTGCACAGAAAGAGAAGCACAATGATCAGTTCAACTAAACATTAACTTTTTGTACATATTTTAGAAAGTCGGTTCATTAAGTTTGTTTCAATGAACAGGTTCTGAATATTATTACTTGCATTTAAAATATTATAAATATTTTTTCTTAAAAACTGTCAAAAACAGTGACTAGGTAGTGAATGTCTGCGTGTGTTAAAAGTATAAGATTTGTTTCCTTTTTGCAATTTTGCCAATCACACAAATATCAACATATTGCAAACAAACACATGTACAATAAACTGCTTCAAAACAATCATTTGATTTAGGTAGTGTTCCTGTGTGGCATTCTATGCAGTTTGTGAGGACAATAACTTAATTTCAAAATCAATTTTGATTCAATTATATATACTGTTTCAAACACTTTGTTAATCAGTTAAACTGAATCAATATAAAAATAATAAATAAAACAATAACATATTTTTTATGAATAATATCATTGGGAATTAGTAGCCAGCTTTATGTGTGATTTGCCCTAGTAAAATTATAAATACAAGGAGGTAAGCACAAACACATCTCAAATGCCAAGGGGACAACACTGTAAACCTTTCTAGCCTGGTTCATGAATATTAATGAGATGATGCAAAATTCACATAATACTAGCACAGTGACACTTATAATACTCTACATCCACAAAAGTGTCCTCTTTTTTTCTTTTTCTGAGCTCTAATGATGAGTAATGCATCATGATGCGTACATGTTATTGAGCTAATAAGGGGCAGACAAACTGCTGCATATGAATGACAGAAGATGGTGATACCCTTTACATGTCGGTTTGACAGTCTGTGAGTGGAACAACAGTTATAGTATGAGAAAAAACAGGTGTCGTCCACACACACACACACACGCACGCAAGCGCACACACACACACACACACACACACACACACACACGCTTCAGTTCTCCTCAAAATAGAATTTCAACCCTAAAGCTATTGGCTTATGCTACCACATAATTGAGTCGGCGACAGTTTGGAAGACTGTTGCACAAACGGCAGCACATGCACACACAAAAACCCACGTGCACACACACACATGCACGCTAATATTGTGTCTGTAATACAAGACGAGAGTGGGTGGGTGGTCCTGCCTCAGCTAGCGAGCGAGATGGGATGAAAAACTAAAGCTGATGTGAATTCTCCACTGTTTTAAGTCTGTTTGGACAATTCGCTCCGCATACTGATATAATAATGCTGAATTTCAATTGGGGGTAGGCTCAGCATGGAATATGATTGACAGCAGGGTCTTGTTTCCATGGTGTTTAATCACCCCTGACTCTCATAACTGCAGGAACGACGGGAGGAAAGGAGAGCAAAGCATCATGGGGAGTAGAACGTTCTATTTCTTTTCAAAGAATCGCAGTTTGGTTTCTCCAAGCTTGTTAGGGATGCATAACCAAAATCTTGCTTGTGCATAATATAATTTCATTATCTTGAGAGGAGTATTGAAATACGGTGATATATATATATATATATATACTGTATATATATTATTAATGTACACAATAGCCTAGATATGCAGCAGAAGACCTCCCCGCTCAAGAGAATGGTCTATTCCACCTGCCACACATTATGGGAGGAAATGTGTGAAAAAAAGGTATCGCAGACAGCAGAATGTGTGTCTGTGTGTTAGTGTGTCCAGGGGGTTTTGGGAGGCGTTAAAATTGGGGCACGTCTCATACTGTGCATTCAGTGATATAAAGGTTGGTTTGTTTCACACCGTTGGGGGTGGCATGATACCGTATGTGTGCGAATGGAAGGGACGGAATATGAGAAGCGTGCCGCTCTCTGAAACTGGGTCCCCTGAGGTGGCGGTAATGTAGAGATGACTTCACCCGTGTCTCTCCGCTTGGCTGGCCTGATGGAAGAGGCCTAGAACTCCATCAGTCACAGCAGAAGAGAGTGCCACTGCTGTAACGCTACATATGGACTGAAAATGCGTTTAAACTGACAGGTAAAGAAAGTCCAAAACGCCACACAACTTACTGTACTGTCACGTGAATATTTGAATGATGAAATCATGTGCAAAAGTGGTAATTATTAAAAAAATAGGAAAAATAGAGGACCCTTGTAGACCTTTATGACTGTTTGCGTATGCTATTAAGTAAAGAAAAAGCAGATATTTTAACCTTATAGTAAAGGTAAGGTTAGTTCATGTTTATTGTTTGATTTTTAAAGTATTTTGCCTTTTTTAATTTGTCAGTGACCCAAATATCAACATAATACAAATAAAACCATGTGCAAACACATAAACAGAACCTCTGCTCTTTTCAAACAGCCTTTGCTGCTCACATGACGTTTGCAGAGCTATGACTTCACTCTATTTGGCTTGGGCCTACTGTTTTGTGCTTGGTGCCATTTTTTGCACGTTGTTCTGTTTTTCATTCCCTGCCCTCTTCCTCTTAAGACCAGCTGTGGAAACAGCACTCCTGCACCCACACAAACAAGCTCTGTTCCCCTCTTCTACTTTATCAGTCTGAGCAGGAGACCTCAGTCTACCTTCAGTCCCATCATGGTACATTTACGCAGGAATCCTGCCAATGCACTTATGCTTTTACTCACTGCCTTTATGGCACAGAGGCCATAAAAAGCAGTCATTAACTCTCCCAAAGACTTATTTTGTTTTCTGTCATCATTCTGACTTGCCTAGCATTCTGGTGAGCTTGACTTACTTAAGTTAGGTCAAATGATGCTCTGAGAGACTGTTTTGTCAAGATAAGAGGGGAAGATGAAGAGAAGAAACGCTTAGAGTGATAGTTATGCTGATCGTCAACAACATTTTGGCGCAGTTTGGACATAGACCCTTGCATTCAAGTCTAAACATATTCTTGGAGCAACATCCTTTGTCCTCAAATAAACATACACTTACCCGATCACTAAAACCCAGAAGGAAATCATTGTTTGGTGAGAATCTTATTCAAGGCCCCAGCCTTAACTCTAAAACAAGAATCTGATTGGTTGATAGGATGGCTGTTCTCGACATAGACATTACTTTCCTTTCTAGTGGCAGAAAAACTTGATATTTAGGTATCAAATTATGCATTTCATCCCATTTGTGATAGGATTCATTACACTCTCTTCGCAGCCATAATAAGAAGTTGTGGCCTTTTGCTGAGACTACACTAATCCACATTACCCAACAGCCAATATATGGAATTACGTTACCAAAGCGTGCACTTAAAAGTGTACTAGCGACATTCGGGAGAGGTACTTTGGTTGGGATGGGTTAGGACTGGGATTAAAACTTTCTTTTTGATTTTAGGCCTAGATTATTGCTGGGGTAAGGTTTGGTTTATATTTGTTTGATCGGGATTTTATTCCAGTTTCAACAAGTATACTGCTTCAGCAACATTCCGTACTTGAGTAAAACACATTACTATTACAGGCAGATGTGAGACCAAGTTGCTGTAAAATCCTAACCAAATTCACTCTTTTAAAAAAAGGTAGTGCACTTTGTTGTAAGTCAGAGATTGGTCTTAATACAACTTGTGAAGATGTTTTGGTGTGGTAATGTGTGAAGATTTTGACAGTAGCATCCGAGCTCAAGATGGAGAGCATCGGTCTTGTTCAGATCTGTCCGTTCTGCTCTCTCCTTCCTCTTTCAGCAGGTAATTTCTCCCTGCTCTTATGGCTTGCTGAATGATACCTCCACCTAGAGACACACACACACACACACACACACACGCAAGCACAGATTTTCTCTCTACTTTAAATCCCACCTAGGTAAACCCAAGCGTGACCAGACCTTTGAAAAATTGATGCAAGTGTTATCCAGTCAAAGATTTGGGGGTTTAAGAAGTCGTTTCCTCCTCAGTGATGCCGTGAGAATCAAAGGTGTGTTATCGGATTTCAGCAGTCTGTCACAGAATCACAGTCACCGTTGAACAACCGTAGTCACAGCGGAGTTAACATTATACTGTACTACAAGCTCTCCTCAAGACATCCTTTTCGCTGCGGCTTTGAAAAACAGCAGGCTTCTCCTGCCTGCACATAAAGTCTTAGCACCTTCAGAAATCTTGTTTATGGCATTTTTTAGTCAGGCGCGGCACTTGTTCCCTAACACAGATGGACCTTGTAAAGCTGGAGTGGGAGGTATTAGAATAAGATGCAGATGGAACTGCAGTAGTCGCCTCAAGGCCAGTGCTACTCGGGAAAAAATTTCTTTAAGTATTCTAGCCACATTCTCATCTCTGTTTTTAAAGACTACTCGGCACAGGCTGTGCACAGCTTCATACCATTCCACAAGCTCAGTGGATCCTGAGTGCCAACTTGGCCCTGCTAATCATGTGCAGGGCATTATGGGATTGACTGCAGAGGTCATTTTACATTCGGAGAAATACTTTTTCCCAGATAGTTCTGTGTAGAACAGTATTTGCTAACCTATTTCTTTGGGAGGGTCTGAAACTGCGAAATGGAATTCGCCGTTAACAGATCAAGAAAAAACAGCAGGGACAGATTTTAAAATAGAGTTTAGACCCTGAAGCCAAGAAGAGAGGTGTAAAGCATTCTCATCAAGTATAGAGTCCCAATTTCTCAGAACAGACACCTCTCCACCTGCCCCAGGTCTTAAACCACCTCCTCGCTCCTCCCGGTTTCCGCCTGCTTCATTTTACGACCCCAGAAGAGACAGCGGACATTTAATGCATTCCCCTCCTATCTTTGCCCTCTTCAACTGTTCAAAATCTTTTGACCTATCACACTGGACTGTTGTTAGGGATTGTGAACCTTCATGAAGTCTCTGAGGCCCCTTCACACACACACACACACACACACACACTTTCAACCATAATAGTGGTGAAAATAGTCTGCCAATCCAAAGGGGAAATTAAAACAAAAAGGATGAATCTAATTCTCAGAGACCTTCGCTTCGCTGCCTTGCAATGTTAACAGACAAGCCTGTCCTTGGGCATAATAATGGCTACGCAATCCAGAACGGTTAAAACAATCAACCACAAGCTAACAATTT